GTCGCCGAACTCCATATTAGATTTCCCGTCGTGGAATACATAGCTTACCCTTTTCAATGTAACTTTACAACGTAGAAATAGGAGTCGCCGCACTCCATGTAAGCGCTTCCCTATGAACGTTTACATCCCCTTGAAACCTTGACCACAGTCAAGAAGTTTCTCTTCCTCCCTTTCGAGGGGAACTACGATTACTCTGATTCCATCCCTTACCTTGGATACGTGGGCACAAGATGCGAGTCTTGGCGAGTAAACTTAGGACTAACCCTTAGGTCTTTCTCTTTACCTTTAACCCTTAACATAACCCTTAAGCAGATAACTTTAGCAATTCGCACATTTAAAACAAGAGGTTCCTGTAGAGTACTACAAAAGTTTAGGATGCTAATACCTTCCCTAAGTTTAACCACCCCCCGAATCCTAGATCTTTCCCCGCATTGTGTTTACGATGTAAAAATAGGTTTTTCCTTTCTTTAACCTTTCCTTCGGATAAATCAAAGACCGATTGTGAATCAAAGATTTGTGATTCAAATTAATTAATAATTTGATATCCTATTCTCACTGCAACAGATGGCAATGACATGATTGAAGTTCCGAAGCAAAGGTTTTCATCGTCAAAAGCCAAGAATTGCAAGGATACTAACCTTAACTTTGTGATTTTAAAATAGATTAACCATTTAGCTTAGTAATTGGTTAGGAACAAGATATTATAAGTTGTGATTTGAGTTTTAACACTCTAAATTGTCTATTTTAACTTCAAGTTGGTCTATGTGAATAGGAAGTTGTAGTGTAGAATAGTGAGTTATAATTGGGTATAACAACTCAGTTAAATTGTCGTAATTTCTGATAAATTAATTTTGGGAAAATAGTCGTCGACATCAATAATGATGTACGTGAGATTCAAAACAAAGCATAATCGCCTTTAATTTAATAAACTTTCCAATATTTTATTTACGCATTTTGTTCAAACCAAACTTTGAAAATGCCCCAATTTTATTATCATAACACGTTAATTGTTTTGTTAAAATAAAACAATCCATGTGAATGCTAACATTTTTATTACGTACAATGAGATTTAGTATACTTGCTAAATATCTATTAAGTTTTTGGTTTTTTATTTTATTTTATTTTCAATTTTTGTTCTTATTTAGTTATTAATAATTAGTGCATTACTACTAAGGTATTTTTCTGGTTGTTTATGCGAGGTACTATATTAAGAGAATTACTATTTAATTCAGAGATCGAGAAGATTACAAGAGCAACTCGAAAAACAACCTGATTAGCAAGGTCAGCTGAGAAATAGCGACAGTAAGAAATTGTTTACCGTGAAAATTGGTAAACAACTGTTGGTCTCCAAAAAAATAGTTTACTTGCAGGATCAACCAGTAAATCTTAGGACACGTGTTATTGTTTAAACTATTTCTGAAAATCTCAAGAACACTTCGACAATGCTCATGATTGTAGAAGATTGTTTAAAGTTTAAAAATGGTAAATTTGCAGAATGATAAAGGAAATGCAATACAGAAACTTCAAAGTAAATTTGCAATGAAGAAATAAATCGTAAACTGAAAATAACTTTTAATTGAAATGAAAAATATGGTGTTTCAGATGTACATTCTCAACGAAAACTCTTTTCTCAATTAACTTAGATACTTTGAGTGACTTATGAGTATTTGTACAACAGTTGAACATATGAAATCCTATACACTAAGACTCCTATTTATAATGCATCGAAAATAACTGTCGTCAACGGTCTTTTCTCTAGAAAATGACACGTTTTGCTTTGCATGTCTCCAATTTGCCCCAGCTTTACACGCGTCATTTCTAAGAAACAGATAAGAACAAAATACAGTTATCATCTTTATTTGAAATTCAAAATCTATGTCGAAACGCAAGCTCTATATCGCCTCCGTCGAATTTGCCATCCAAACTTAGAAATATTTCTAAGTTTCAACCCAACGTATCCTTCTCATAAAGAATCATCACTTCGACTAAAACTTTCACCAATACTCTTGTTGAAGTTTAAAAATAACTTAAGAATCATTTCTTTTTCCTAAATAAATACTGGCGTCGACATTCTCGGCCAACAGAGACAACATCATTTTCTGCAAATCACGAGAGTGAGCAAGATGACATAATTATGGCTAATCAACCTAGGAAGATTATGGTAGACTATTATAAGAGAACTAATGTTGTACAAACATCTTTTAGGTTCCAACCAACTAATAAGTGCTAAATTGTACTGATTTTGAGCGTGAATAATTGACACTTATTGGCTTGAGTAGTTGGTTTTTCGTTAATAATCCCCCATTTTGTGTATATTTTATATAATTTCCATTATAGTGTGTAATATGCATTTTTGTGTACATATTATTAATTTTGTCAGTTTTTCATGTGTTTTTATAGGTAATAATGCATGATTGAAGTATGAACCCATTTGAGCCAAGAAGGATGCTACAAAATACAGTTTTGACCAACAAAATACTGTCATTCGCGCTTAGCGTGATTTTTAGCATGCTGGGAACTGGATAGCAGTAGCTGGAGCATTTATGTTTTCTTGACATCTCTTAGCGTGGGCAGGACCCTGCTTAGCGCGCTTTAAAGTGGTTTAAGGGTATTTTAAGTGAGATCACGCGCTTAGCGGGATTGTAATAAATTTCATTATTTCTAATTTTAGTTTATCTCATTTTTAGGTATTCAAGCAAGGATATTTTGTCATTGTTGTATAGAGTATTGAATAAGCTTTCCAACGCTTCCGACCGTGCGTCAACGGAGTTACAGTTCGAAAGTTATGAAGAAAATAAGAATTGTGATTTTGCTGATGGCGCTAAGCGCCCTCATAGTGTGCTATTTTGTGGTTCGAATCCACTTCAATCAGAGTTGACAAACCATGAGATTTGTATTCTTATTCTCTCTTCTCTTTGTACCCTCTATTTGTTGGGGTTCTGTATGTAAGTTTATCTTGATTGTATGTATATTTATGGATCTTTGTATAAAATCTCTTTTACAAATCTTAATCGATGTCATCTTTGATTTAATCTCAATCTTAATGGGTTCGATTCGTTATAGACATATACTTTTCGAACTTGACCTAAGATGAATGTCTATTGGCTGTGGGAAGCAGTCTAATATTCACGTGTGTGTGTCAGATCTTAATGCTCCATGTTATTTTGTTGCGTGAGACATCACCTCCGAGAGAATGTAGTTGATCTCTCAACGTTTGCGTTAGACATAACCTCTTGTTGTGAGGGACACGTGGGGATTTTGATGTGTGATTTAAGTTGTGTGCATTTGATCCATATATTTTTTATTTCTTTATGGGTAGAATGAGATACAACTCCTGACGAGTTTTCTCATGTCTTAAGAATGTATTTATTTTCTTGTCTTATGTTTTTCTTTAACACTTTTACCCCAAACCATTTAAACCCAAACTTAGAGATGTAGAGACCGTCAAACGACATTCTTTCCCTCGCACCGATCTCTGTGGAGACGATATAAATCCTGGAGGGAATTCTTCCGAAAATACTATTTTTGCTTGCCGCATTATCACTTCAACACTGGCGAATCCTATTTCTTTAGACATTAAAAATGTTGTTCTTGCAGGTTTAAGAGACAAAAAGTTTTACGAAAGTGTCATTAGAAATCCATGGGATCATTTGACTCGTTTTTACAATACATGTTATATTTGCAAGATGGGGTAACTGAAAGTCAAATCAAGTTGACTTTTCGGGTTATCATTAAATGGACGAGCAAAATATTGGGTGCAGTGTCTACCAAGTTGTACATTTCAGACATGGACAGAGTTAAAATATAAGTTTCTCAAGATATTTTTCTCCAATGCTCAATTTGTTAAAAGAAAGTGTCAGAATTTCAAATTTCTCACAAGACAATTCAAAAACACTTTATGAAGCATGAAAAAGATTCAAGTTGTTACTCAAAAGGTGTCTGAATCATAACATGTATGTAGTAGATGTAACATTTAACAAGAGGTTTAAAATTTCAAACAAGATGCCTCAACTAGAGGTACAATCATAACAAAAAATGAAGACACGGTGAAAGAGTTGATAGAAAAAATATGTTAGATGTATTTTACCTTAAAGTTTTGATTCTTTTTTAAAATATTTTTTTAATATTTTTTTACAATTTATTGATATTTATGTGCATATTGAACTCTCCTTAGCATTGTTCATTAGATTTAGCACCATATTTATTCATTTATAGATGTATTTTAATAGTTTCTTTTCAACTAAGCCACTTCTCAAAACAAACCTAATTCAAAAAACGAATCCAATACACAAGTTCAATATAATCTCAATTAACCTTTAAACCAAACAATAATAAATATCCAAGTCCAGAGAACAATTGCTTAACTTTACCTAATTTTCGACAATAGAATTGACTTCCTTGTCAATAATCATATGTAAGAAAGAGATAAGAAGAGATATTAGAGAAGATGAGATGAAAAACGAAATTGAAATGTAAGGAAACGAGAGATTTACCTTGTGATTGCGAAGAAGATGAAGACAAGAAACCCTAAGATGATAAACTAATTTGCCTTTGCCTTCATTTGCGTTTGATTTTTTCTTTGCTTTCTCATGCGTTCCTAAGTTTTCATGCTTTTGATGCTAACCCTAAGTTTTTACGATTCTTAGTAATAAACTTGGGTGTTAAATAAATGGGTTGTAAATAACGTGGTTTGATTTGGTTTGGTTCAGTTTCAAACCGAACCAAACTTTACATTCTACTATAAAATGACCTAAACATCCAAACAAATGCGATTTTTGCGGTATTTGATTTGGTTATATTTGATTTGTATTTTTTATTAGACCAATTTAGTTTTGAACACATATACCTCTAGCTGAGGAACTTCGGGCAACGTATAGGCGTCACCCCTACCACTCTCGCACTCTTTATAGGCCCTTTTACTCTTTATTATTATTATTATTGTCAATCGGGGTAACACCGTTACGTGTAAAGCCGGGGAACATAGCGAAAGAGAGTGACGAATGGCGGCGGAGAACACTGTAACATCAAACCCTAGCCACGGAGAACGACCAAAAGTGGTGGTTATAACCGGCCCAACCGGTTCTGGAAAGTCTAAGCTAGCCGTTGATTTGGCCTCCCACTTCCCCCTCGAAGTAATCAACTCCGATTCCATGCAAGTCTATACTGGCCTCGACATTCTCACCAACAAGCTCCCCTTCTCCGAACAAAACGGTACACCGTATCCTACTCTCACCCGATCCCTCCTCCTCCTCCTTCCATTCTCTCTCTGTTTTTGAAATTCCACTTTCATGTTGATGTAGGAGTACCGCACCATCTTTTGGGTACTGTTAACCCAAACACAGAATTCACTGCCAAAGCTTTTCGGGATTCTGCTATTCCCGTAAGTTTCAAAGCTGATAGAAGAAAGAAGAGAATGGAATTTCTTCTTATTTGTTTTATTATTGTTATTCCTTTTTGCATTTTGGTTGATTAGTTAATATTTGTTTTCCCTTATTTTTCAGATCATTGATGCCATATTGTCTCGTAATCACTTACCGGTTATAGTTGGCGGTACTAATTATTATATACAGGTGCAAATTTAGGAATTTTGAATCTTTCGGATTTTCTCTCTGCTTATGTTATGTTCTATTCTTACTCTAATGATATTGGTTTCAATTTCAAGGTGCTATTGTTCTACATTTGATTTCTCATAAGTTATAACACTGAAAGTTCTTCCTGTTATGCCCTTCAGGCTCTTGTGAGTTTGTTTCTGTTAGATGATTCGACCCATGAGTTGAATGAAAGCTATTTGGGTGACTCACCTGGTAATTTGCTATTCGGTCCTAAATGTTTTTTTCTAGTTTAATTAGTGTATACTTAGCTTCTATTATATTTGTAATTTATAGGTATCACAGGGTGTGATAATGGTATTGCTGCTGAAAACGACTGTTCTAGCAACAGTTATGATTTGCTTAAGGATATTGATCCAGTTGCAGCAAATAGAATCCATCCAAATAACCATAGAAAGGTTGGGGATGTAATTTCATTATTTATTCTTTTTGAGACATATGCAAAGAACCATCTTATTTATATAGTTTGAGTTATATACATACAATTCCATTTTATGTGTATATATGAACTGTGATTCTTATCTATTAGAAGCATTATGCACTTCCAACTGATTCCCGAGGCGAGCTATTTAAATTTCTTTGAATTTCTAAATTGGGGATGACCTATTTACAAGTGCTATTCATTTTTGTTTTAGATAAACCAATACATTAGTTTGTACTCTCGTACTGGTGTTCTTCCCAGCAAAGTCTTTCAAGGACAGGCAGCAGAGGTTTGTTATCTTCTTTAATATTCATGGACTAATTTCGTAATTCAATATAATCTCTTTTTCCTTAGAATCTATAATACTTGGAAATTTGTACCAATCACGATAACGCCAGTTACATTTTTTTAGGTCTTTTAAATAACACTGGTCTTGCTTGTGGCAGGGCAGAAGTGGGGTCAAGCTGATAACTTAAGATATGATTGTTGTTTTATAAGTGTAGACGCATCTCTCCCGGTATTGGACAGATATGTGGAGCAGAGGGTAGATCACATGATGGATGTAGGATTACTCAATGAAGTCTATGACATTTACTCTATGAATGCAGATTATACCAGAGGTTTGCGACAAGCCATTGGTGTCCGTGAATTTGAGCATCTTCTTCAAACCTGTGCTTTCAAAAACATAAATCAGAAAGAGAAGGAGTTAACAGATGGAGTGAGCTTAGAAAATGGCGAGCCAGTGCTTGGTGGAAATTTAATGGAGTGGTTTAGAACTTCCTCTGATACTAAATCCATAAAACTTTTAGAAGAAGCAATTGAGAAAGTAAAGGTTAATACCAGGAGACTTGTTCGCCGTCAGGTAAAAACGAAAAAAATAATGTCATTTGTTACGCAGCTTTCTGAAGCATTACTGCAGAACATTTCTTTGGTTAGATATGTAAGAAAACTGAATAATGAGTTTTCTTTTTTATTGACCACATATAATAGAAAATCACTCAAGACGCCTCTTCTGAATTCAAATTATGTTTGAAATATATTTTGTTCTTTTTGAAAGACATTTATTTTGTATGGAAGTTTGCACAATATTGGAAAATTTTGTTTGTGTCTATAAGACTCAGCTCAGCGATTTTTGGATAACTAAAAATTTTCTTTGGATCTGTCTAAAGTTCTGCTCTCTCCTGCAATTGTAGTATATTGTTGTAAAGACCATGTTAGTATGAAGAAAAAATAATACATAGCAATGACCAGAATAATCATTTGTTAAGCCTCCTATATTGAGCTGACTGTAAGATTGATATAGAAGCTTTGTTCATGACAGAAGAGGATGCTCAGTCGACTTCAAACATTGTTTGGTTGGGACATACACTATGTTGATTCCACGGAATCAATATCTAGTAAGCTGTCTTAATCTTTTT